GGGACAGAGAGGTGTGGAATAAAGGTAAATTATGTGAAAAATAATGTGTTTTTTAACAAACGAAGCATTAACACATGTTAGACTGCACCCCATAAACACAATCAAGCCTATAAAAAAAACAGTCAACCACCCCTTTAATGAAGAATAATATACTAATACAAAGGTAGCCTTTGGCTTAAGTTCACTAAATGTATTGCATGCCTGTTTATTTCCATGCAACTAAGAAAAGTGTTTACGTGATTGACATGCATGTTTAATTAGAAAATTATTTAAGAACTTGCATCCCGGTCACTGGATTTGTAGCAGTCATTTCAGGTTTGTACACTCAGAGAAAGGGTGCTGGATAAATGGAGTAGTCAAAATAGTATTTGCAATGCAAAGGTAGTAGGCACCTGCATAATATCAGACATCGAAATGTACTACTAAACGATCACTGTCAATTCATCTGTATAAAAATAATTAATCTTTCATTGTCAATGCAGCCCTACAACGTTTCATTTGTACAAAAATCATTCTGCTAGTGTTTGATTATTGAGACACAATAACTTTACGTAAATAAGCACTACAGCAATGCCAATGCCAGATACCAATGGGAGCACAGAAAATGATTTAATATAGTTAGATACCGCGGCCATAAATTTAGTACTGTAGTATAACAAAATATTTAGAGCCAGATTTACTAACCAGAGCAAATTAGCGTGAGAGCGCAATCTCACAGAAGTGCAGATGAGAGTGAAAAGCTCTGCGGCTGATCTACTGACAATGTGCACATTAAAGCACACAGACACAACCGGATCATTTCCATAATGAGCAGCGCAATCTACCAAGAGGAGCGCAAATTGGCTGGTTTAAGACATGCTTTTTTGGGGGCAGTAAATAATGGCGCAAATACCAATAAATTCACTACCTTAGTAAATTATGTTGCATGATTCATTTAAATACTCTCCTTCCATAAATGTTGTGCCTGAAAGGGAAAATCCTACAAATATATATGAAATAAGGTCAGACGCAAAATTAACAAGTGTCCAAGCATTAATTTTTCAATACGCGCCTTCAGTAAATCCTGACAGTAGTTTTTTAACACCAAATGATTGTTTGACCTGGTGCAAGCTGTTAGTAAATCTGACCCTTAATAAACTATATACTATACAGTACAGGCGTATTACAGGATTAATATTTCTGTCTTATCATCATATAGTCCCCCTCAGAGCTATTGTGCCTGAAGAATCTCAGACAGTGAGATTCAGTTGATAAGAAAATACTTTAACTGTGGTCAAAGTAAATTACATTAGATA